TGAAACAACATTCTATCAATGTTTCGACTGTATATTCAGACTGCGGATGGGTCAAAAGCTGCAAGCAAACTATACACAGAAACAGCATCATCTATTCCAGCAATTTTTCCCTGTGAACTACTGGATAGCTCATCTAATCATTGGCAGCATCATATACCCTCTGGTAATTTAACATAACTATGGAAAATCACCATTTTTAATGGGAAAACTCACTATAAATGGTCATTTTCAATAGTTATGTTAAATTACCAGAGGGTACATACAAACAGCATCATCTATGGGCACGGGGTTTTGACCAACAACTCATATCCTGATGCTTGGATTTGCGGCAGTTGCGGCATCGAATTGTAGCAACGCGTTGCGCGTAGCAAGGCCTGGCGGAGCAAAATGCTGGGCTGCGCTAAAGGAGTTTTTCCTTTTTTGTTGATCTTCAAACATGATATATAAATAAAAACAACAAAAAATCTGGATCAGAACCAAAATCATGGTTGTTACCCTCTGGTAAACGTTTACAGTTTGCTATTGAACATGGCCCAGTCGAAATAGTGAACCAATCTACCGGGATCCAACGAGTTTGGACATTCTGAGGTGATCCTTTTAAGCTGCGGCGTTAGCCTACATAGATGTGGAAAACCCCCGGGTTCCCTTCAATCATTGGATTGTTTTTTTTTGGGAAAATTTTAACCGGACACCTCCATATTTCATGGGAAAATCGATGGTTTCTGGTTAAGATTTTCCCAAGAAAACCAATCCATTGACTTCAGTGATGATCTACAAATTTTGGGTTCTCCACATCTGAGTTGGAGGTTACCCTCTGGTAATTTAACATAACTATTGCAAATCACCATGCTATTAATGGGTAAATCAACTATAAATTGCCATTTTCAATAGTTATGTTAGTTTACCAGAGGTTACCTTGAATGGTGAGGCTGTGAATGTAGAAACATACAGTAGATCCAGTAGATCCCCGTTTTTTGCCAAATTTCCATCGAATTTCACCAACAAAAATGGTGGTGTAATGGTGATATACTGGGGATAAAATGGGGATATTAGTGGGGAGTGGAATCCTGGCTGAGGGTTACCCTCTGCCATCAAACTTGGCGATGCACAATCCCAGCCAGTCCGGGGAGAATTTCCAGCCATGGACGGCCAGGACCATAAAACTCCGCGTTAAATCCCATGAAGATCCCTCAAATATTTCATTGTTCCCAAATCATGTCCCAAATCGTATTTTTTTTCAAATTAACCTTTCATTAATGTTCCCAAATCACATCCCAAATGATATATATATATAAACCATCAGCATTCCATTGATATAAACCATTGATAAGATACCATCAAAAATGTTGCCATGTTTTTTTCGTATCTCTCCATTGTCTCCGGAGAATCGAAAATTCATCCCGAGAATGGTTCGAGACGGCACAACTCATCCCAGGGCGGCGATCTCCGGGTAGCAACCATGACAATTCTGGGATTTAATGGGATATAATGAGACATCATGGGACATCATGGGATATTTTTCGTTTTTTTTTGGGATATATCATCTGGTAAACTAAGAGTTTTTTTTTTAATCGCATAGATGGCCCAGGTAGTTTGAGGTTTTGCCTGTGTGAATGCTGATTTTCCATAGCTATGTCAAATTGCCAGAGGGTAATTTCCCCATCATTTTAGGCTATGACAATTTGGAAATGACGCAGCCTTCACCTGCACTAACCATAGTACTGTAAATGGGGGTACCCCAAGCGAGCATTGGTTGGTTTATTTCATGGGAAATCCTGTTATATAAATGGATGAGAACTGGGGGTACCCGCAGAAGATAGAGATTCTCCGGGATGGCGCCGGTGGGTTGTTCTGGTCTTAATGGAATATGAATGTGATTTGAGCTGTAAAGTGACATTTTATCTTATTATTGTCCCGTTACATCAGTGTGTGTCAACGTTTCTATCTGTTGGTTTTACCTGATTTGTTGGTAAACATCACATCAATTTTGACTATGCCTATTATATATACTGGATACACACATCATTTCTACCTTCTTCGCCCTGATTTTCTTGTCACACAATTTTCACTTCGCATCGCTCGCTACCCAAGGTTCCAAGGAGCTCTCCTTGCCCGGGAAGAACTACCTGAACTTGGGCGGCTTGTGCCTTGCGACTGGAAAATTCATGGTGGTTCTGATAAAATATGAATGGGATTTGAAGCATCGAACATAGGGAGTATGAGACGGATGATGGGGACCATCCAAAAATGGGCATCAGAATGGGATCAGAGTTGGTGGGTTCCGTTTGCCACAAAGAATTGGTTCATCCCGCGAATCCTGAGGTTTGGTAAAATCACAGGGAAATAAGTGGAGTAAGCCCATAAGAATCCCACAAAACCACGGATATAACTGATATAACCCTGCGATTCCTGGGATAAAGCACCAGGTAGCGAGTGGGGCTGGCCTGCATCATCCCCACTAGGTAGACTTAATAAACCCTAATTGGATTGGGGATGGTGTATCACTGGGTTTATGACATTGAGCATTATAGTAAATGGTAGTAAAACGGGTATTACTAGACATGGGTACAAAGACTTGGTATTGCTGGGGAAGCCGACGGAATATCATAACCACCCCACTGGCTGTCCCCCATAAACGATGGGATTGGGAATATTGGGAATCATCTCAAAATGGGCAGAACAACCATGACAGTTCTCATGAATTTGCCTAGATTCCAGAGAAAAATGATATGTATTCTTCCAATTTGCCTAGATTTTCTACCAGGCTACTCCTACCCAGCCAAAAGCTTGCTGCAGCAATGATGGGTAGCCTCCGGTGGAAAATCAAACACGGCGATTGCTGCAAAATCAACCATAAATGAAGGTTTAGTTCGATGGGAAAATCATCAAACCAAATGAGGTATTTTCCAGCAAGCCATATTGGATTACCAGATTACCAGAGGGTAGATGATAGCTGGGGGCGATTCTCGGGTTCAACAACACCTTCTTGGCCAATTAAAAAATGGCGAGTTTGCCTGCAGATGTGACCATCATAAAATCCATAATTTGTTGCTGGATATATATATACACACGTACATATGTGTTTCTGACTTGATCGTGTGATAGAGGAATACTTCATGTCCAGCTACTGTATTTTGTTCTAACCTTTTTCCATATGTATATATATATATATTTATACATATACCTATATATATATACATACAATATGTGTTTCTGACTTGATCGTGTGATAGAGGAATACTTCATGTCCAGCTACTGTATTTTGTTCTAACCTTTCTCCACCAACAGTAGCTGCATGCTAGGGCCAAATTCAAGAACTTGGGTGTCCATATCAAGCTGGCCATATCAAGCCATGGGTCAACATCTTTTTCGGATTTCGCGAGAAAAAATGGGAGATTTCACCCTCCATTGGTGGTTGAAAGTCAGGACCTTGTTCATCGTCTTGATGTACTACTTCCTGCAGGAAGGCGAGACCAAGCTTTCCTGCAGCAAAAGACTCGAGACTCTGTTTAGGTCCCATGGGTCTCATGATCCGTTTGCGACTTGGAAGTGCATAGAAAAAACATCTTTTTCGTTAAACATCAGGATATAACTAGCAGCTGCACCAGTTCCATAAAATTTCAGTCCTTCATTCCTTAGCACACATCTACCTGGCACTCCGACACACACATTTTGTTTTAACCATTCAAGATAGACAGGTTTCGATTCTACGAAGAGTTCCAGGTTAGGTGCTAAAACCAATTACAATCTACACAGCTATGGTAAAAGCCATGCTTGAATCATGGGGTTTACCACATGTTTTCTTGCTATTTCTTGTCTCTCCAATAGGTTCACATGTCAACATTGAACCCCCAAACAGATCATGAACTGGATCTTTTCCCTTCATTTCCATATCGTTTCGTCAAAAATTGCTGGAGGCCATTGGTTTCATGGGGATTTCTTACCCCTCCAGTGACGCGCCTGTGACCCCAAGAATTGCTTGGTTGAATCCACAGGACATCGCAATTTTTTCATCATCCGAAAACAAGATCCCATCCATGATGTTAAAATTTGATCAAACATCCCATCAGATAAATCAGCATACCTCTGGTAAACGTTTACATAACTAGAGAACATCACCATTTTTTTGGGGAAATCAAACATCAGCAATTTGGCGAAAGCAAACTGTTACTTTACCAGAGGGTAATATCCTTGAACACCGTCATTAGTGGGATGGAATAACCATCATGAAAATGTCCATCATTGGTTAACCTTAATCATAGTTTGGCATCAAATATTGGTCTACCAGAGGGTATACCATATTCAATAATCATGCCAGAGGAACTTTTGAGGTGAATTGTTACATCTTAGCCAGCAATTGTTGGACATTTCCTGTTGTAACACGATAAATTCCGGTTAATGTTTGAATGAGATGGGAATCATCTATAGTTTTCCCCCAAATTTGGCCAAGATTCCCATCTCATTTCTATGTCCAGCCAGGCGATCCCTGCGGCAGCTTAATCCTGTGGGTTGTGGCCATCTTGGCGTGCTTGATGGGTCTGCACCTGGTGGCTTCCGTGGGAGGTGGCGACATGCGACCTGCCGAACACCTGGATGACCTGGTGAAGTGATCATCGGTGGTTTAAGTGATGATTTATGGCGTTGATTTACCTCATAAACATGGGGGATTTCCCATATAAAATGTAAAATGGTCCATAGAAATAGATGATTTACCGTTCTTAAAATGGTGGATCTTTCCATGGCTATGTTAAACAACCAGATGGTAATAAAAATGGGGATTTCCCATAGTTATGTTAAATATGGATGGGTTTCCATAGTCATGGGGGTACCCCAAGCGAGCGAAATGGATGGTTTATTTCATGGAAAATCCGAAAATAACGTGGATGAGAACTAGGGGTACTCCCCATTTGAGGAAACCCCCATAATATTAGAATGTTGGGTCAAAACCTATTACTATCAATTAGAGTGGAATGAACAGCCATTTACCGGCTATTTTGTTGTTCACTAGGTACCAGGGTTTTGACCTATAGCCATATGAATGTTGGAGAATATTGGTCATGATTTCTTAACTAGCATTACTACTATGACTTAAAACCATACTAACTATACTTATTACTCAACTGGTTTTCACGATACTTACGATCATTGTCAACATCATTTTATACCTTAAGATAGATCAGTTGGTTGATTATTTGGGCTTGCCACAGTGTGAACATTCGAACGGGGGATGGCCGAAGGGTGAATTGGAGGGATCGACATCAAAAACGACCTCAGAGATTTTCGCTCACGAAAAATGATGGGTTTTTGGGAAGTCATACTTTTCCCAGATATGGGTGGTTTATTCATGGCATTGTTTTACCCACATAAACAAGGGGATGAAGCAATCCAACAGAATATGGAGGTTTCCGAAATAATTTGGGTACCTCCAAATCATCCAGTCATTAGACCATGACTGAGTATCGAAACCCCTGGCTTGGGGATCCCCCCATGTTGAAAAAGCTCCGTATCAGTTCATGGGGTTCTAGCCACGTTTGGGTATGCCTGCAGCTCTAGTCCATTTATGTTCATTTTAGGCTTCGGACGCAAGATAGGCGGGCTAAGATTGTTGATGCCATTGCTATGTCCTCCTAGTTGGTGATCATATCTCGATACTGGCAATACATAGCTCCATTGGATCCCATCTTATCTCAGTTCTATTGCTTGACTCTTCCTGATTCTGATGGCGTTAACCCGCAAGGTCAAGAGTATTGATCATGCCATGACTAGAGGTCTATTGTTTTTCGGGTTACATGATTTCCAATCATGGCTGGTAGACCCATCCTTTTTCTTAGTCAAATCTTAATCTCTGTTGCTCAAACGTCCCCATTTTTGTTCAATCCCATTCTGAATTGCTTAAAATCAGATTTTCAGGATGATCAAAGTTTCATTTCTCAATCCTCATGTTTTTTCCATCCCACTCTCCTTCGCTTATCCCTTTCTTTGGGCGAAAAGTCACATTCTTCCGGTTCGTAGCAGGTCACCCATCAGCAACCGAGGCCCGTGTGCATCACTGTCCTGAACTCCTACTCCGGCTGGGCTCTGGTTGCAGAGGTGCTGCTGAAAAGACCTTCGAACATCTCCGAAGGAAACGGTTTTTTTTGGCCAAATGATGGATATATATATATGTCTTATATATTATATATCTTATATATATATATCTTATATATATATATCTTATATATATATCTTATATATATATATCTTATATATATATATCTTATATATATATATATCTTATATATATATATATATCTTATATATATATATCATATATATATATATATCTTATGTATATATATACACAGAGATATAGATATATAATAGATATCTGTTGGGAAGAAGGGAACAACCAATTGGTGATATATCTCCGTGTTTTTCTGGAAGAACCAACAAACTGGTTCTAGTTGTAGGGATCACGAGATGACGGATGGGATAAGTTCGATCCCTCCAATCTCGGATGTCCCATGTTAGCCTCTGGTAAACTACAGTACCAGTTTGCGATTCGGCTGGACATAGAAATGAGATGGGAATCTTTGCCAAATTTGGGGGAAATCTATAGATGATTCCCATCTCATTTAAATATCGGAATTTATCGTGTTACAACAGGAAATGTCCAACAATTGCTGGCTAAGATGTAACAATTCACCTCAAAAGTTCCTCTGGCATGATTATTCAATATGGTATACCCTCTAGACTAATATTTGATGCCAAGCTATGATTCAGTTTAGCCAATGATGGACATGAATGATGGTTACATGGTTACTCCATCCCAATGATGGTTTTCAAGGATATTACCCTCTGGTAAAGTAACAGTTTGCTTCCATAGCTCTGGTCAAGATCTACACCCAGATTCCTTTTGTTTCCCACCGCAGAAAATGGTTACTTCCATAGCATATCCATATAATTTCCATATTTGAAGGTTTCATTTTTTCCCATCTGATTTTTGACATTTCCACTTCTTCCCATGCTATTCCAATGCAATTCCTATATTATATATTATATATGTGGTTGTCTTCCCGCGGTTGTATTCCTCGGGTGTAGTTCCCCTTAAATAAATGAATAAATGTATGTTGCCATAGGCCCACAATTGCAAGGGCGGCCAAACTATCCCCAGGTGGGGTTGGAACCTGGGATATACCCATCAATAAACCCCTCAGATGATGGTTGCTGTAGGGGTCATCCCAATGTTTCATCCCATGAATCGTAAGTAGCTTAGGTTAGTTGACCCCAGTGAAAGAAGTGGATGAAGCCTACAACAACACCCACAAAACAAGGGATATAATCTACTCTTTGATTCGTGGGATGAAGCAATTATTCATGGGAATATAGTGTAATATCCATTCGGATCCACTGAAACCACTTATGCTTGATGCTTTAGATCGCATTAAACACTAATAAAAACACAACATTTGAACCCCAGCTATAGATGCTTAGTTCTCCCAAGTCCCTCAAATATCATCCCTATTGTTGATGATTACGCTTGTTATCCACTCGAATTTTAGGGCTTCAATCCCATTTTCATGGGATTTCACCATCCCATTTATAGATGATGATCATCCCTATTGTTGAATGCTTGATTCCTATCATTTTCTAAAAAAATACCAGGTAAAAAAGACCCTTTGAGCGACGCATCCAGGGCTTCTTGCTGAAGAGCAACGTGCTGACCATCGTCGGCTCCTTGATTGGCTTCAGCGGTGTCTCGGACGTCTGAAAAACTGACGGAGTTTTGGAAATGGCTGACCGGTGAATGGGGAAAGTCATTGGAGATAGTACCCTCTGGTAAACTAACATAGCTATTGAAAATGACCGTTTTTAATGGGAAAACTCACTATAAATGGCCATTTTCAATAGCTATGTTAGTTTACCAGAGGGTAATGGAATGTTACCTGGGTAAATTTGATCACGACCTCACTGTTCTCCCTCACTGGAAATCATGGTTTATTTTAGGGGAATCACCCCCAAATGGCCGCAAGATTCAGGTTAGTGAAATATTATAATTTACCCAGATAGTAATGGAATGTTACTGGGATATTTTAGCGGAATATTTTTCCGGAATCTTCATGGCATGTTTTCAAATATCGAATATCAAGGATAACTAAGGCAAGAATGATCATGGAATATGATTGCTTCCTGATTGGGTTATCAGTATTCCATTAAATATTTTAGTTCCACTGAAATTGCCCGAAAATTCCAGAGATTTTTCGTGCCGATGACATGACCATAGCCAGACGGTGAGATGTGGAGGTGGATATTTTGCGTTGACAGATGTGGATATAGTGGATCAATATAGTGGATATAGATATAGTGTATATACATGGATATCAACACTATAGGATATAATGGAGATGTGATATAGATATATTTTTTCCAGAACCTATGTGGATTTAATGGATTAATATCCATGACAACGGGAACATATGGGGATAGAATATCCCACAGGTTTCAATGAATAGCCATGAAGAATGGGAATATCATGGTTTTATAATGGCCAAAATGGCTTAATGAATATTGATCAACTAAGATTCTATGGGTTTATAATGGGTTTTAATTCGAACATCATCTATAAATGGGGATATCATGGGGATATAACCAACTTGATATGTTATGGATAGTCCAGCAGGGCTTATAACAGGATAGTGACTAGTGACATTTATGGGGTTTGATCAGAACCCATAGCCTGGAGCCACAGGATTTCACCAGCAAGAGATCGGAGTCAAAACCTTCAACAGCGGGATTTACCCTCTGGTAAACATACAAAAAGCTATTGAAAATGGCCATAGAAATAGTGAGTTTTTCCATTAAAAGCATGGTGATTTTCCATAGTTATGTTAGTTTACCAGAGGGTAACTTAATAATATGAAGTTAGTAAATCCTAGAGATTTTGATTGGTGTTTGGGCTCGAGTACCAGCCCAGACTCGATTTTTGGTGACCCTAGTGAAAGCATGGTTTGGACACCGGTAGGTTTCGGCAGCAATTGTTTCCCTTAAATCAATGCAATGATCTATTTGGTCCAGTAGTAGACATTTCAATCATCGGCGTTTCGTTTTACGACGATTCGTTCGAATCCCGCTCTTAACCACAGTAGAACCCATTCACAGCAGGTACCCTTGGCAATTGAACATGGCCATGGAAAGCCAATGTTTTTTAAATGGAAGGGACATGAGATTATCCATATAGTAACTCCCGAAAAGATAGAAGAGATTGAATTTATCACGTAGGATTTTATACTTTTCTTCCTTTTTCTGGTTGCAAAAAGGACCACGGGTAACAACCAGCGGGTTTTCCAGCCAGCCGCGCATAAAGGAGCTATCCTGACCAAGATCATGTGCGATGCGATGAAGCTCTGCTCAAGAGTTTTTTGGGGCACGTTAGGGGCACGGTGCAGTCATTGGGATGGTTGATTGTTGAGTCGGAAAACAATGGATACTATTGGATATTTCATGGGATATTACTCTATGGAATACAATGGGATATTCTGGATAACACTGGGATGCTATGGCTTTGTGGATATCATTTTTTGAAGATCATCTCTGGGGATAGTTACAATATGTTACAATAACAACAAACCAACTTGATATGATATTTGGGTCTGTCTTTCATCAGGAAAACAAGGTGGTTCATCATCCAATTTTTGGGACATCCGATTTTCAGACAAATCTGAAGGATGAAATCCCATTGCCAAACATCTGTGGTCCAACACCTGACATGATCCTCAGGCCCAAATGGTAGGCAGGGACTGTTCCCAGTCTGATAGCGACTGAGGCCTCTCAAGTTGGATGGGATCTCTCAAGTTTTTCCATGGGAAAGCTGGTCAAAATCCACATTTTAATCCGTTTGGTGAACAATCATGGATGGCTTCATGTTTTTTTGTTTTTTGATTTTGTCAGATCCATTTTATTGTTTGATAAGAGGTACCGTTAGAGATGCCCGTTCACCATGCTAAACCACACACATAGATATATACATACATATATATTATATATATACATACATGTACAATTACATTGCATTACAATACATTACAATACATTACAATACATTACAATGCATTACAATACATTACAATACATTACAATACATTACAATACATTACAATACATTACAATACATTACAATACATTGCAATACAGTACAATACATTTCAATACATTACAATACATTACAATACATTACAATACATTACAATACATTACATTACAATACATTACATTACAATACATTACATTACAATACATTACAATGCATTACAATACATTACATTGCAATACATCACAATACAATACATCACAATACATTACATTACAATACATTACATTACAATACATTACATTACAATACATTACATTACAATACATTACATTAATACATTACATTAATACATTACATTAATACATTACATTAATACATTACATTAATACATTACATTACATTCAATTAATACAGTACATTAATACAGTACATTAATACAGTACATTAATACAGTACATTAATACAGTACATTAATACAGTACATTAATACAGTACATTAATACAGTACATTAATACAGTACATTAATACAGTACATTAATACAGTACATTAATACAATACAGTAATAGTACAGTACAGTACAGTAATAGTACAGTAATAGTACAGTACAGTAATAGGATAGTATAGTATAGTACAGTACAGTACATACATGCATGCATACATACATAAATGCATGCATGCATGCATGCATGCATGCAGGCAGGCAGGCAGGCAGGCAGGCAGGCAGACACACATATACACATATGATATCTAATAATATGATATCAATGGATATATTCCCATCCCATACATTCCAAAAAAAGAAACACCGTTTTTTCCGAACGCTTTTCCACCCCCTGGGGATCCTAGGAATCGAGACATCTTCAACGTGCTCTTTGGTGGATTGAACAACGCCCCTGTGGTGAAGGGTGCAGACACCGGCCCCAAGGCGGTGTTTTTTCATTAGGGAAACTGGAGGATTGAACTATGAAAAAACATCGGTTTAACTGTTTAACCAGCAAAAAATAGGAATTTTGATATACATCTTTGATGGGAATATCTAATGGTTGTTGAATGGATTCCCACCCGCATTTCATCGCTCAGCCATGAGAATTCTACGGCTTTTTCATGTTTTTTCCGTTGGGCAAGTAGTCTTCTGACCCCTGACTCATGACAGGGTCTATGTTCCTAAAAGGGACCGGAAATCAGATTTGTTGACACAATATCATGGGTTGCAAATATGATTATTACTAATTAATTACCAAGTAATTTCAGGGTTGATGATCTAATCCCACATTCCCCTATACGAGCCCAACAAATGAATAGATCCAGTACCAAATCGAGGTTTCTATTGGTGTACAGTAATTGATACTGTAAATACCACGTTTTTTTTTTGATGCCCTGACAGCGCATAAATCAGATCATGTCGGCATGTTGAACACAAGCCAAAAATTATTCCCCACTTCAGCACCATCAATATGGGTATGGGTCAAGTCATTAGGTACCCCAAAATTATGGATGGTTAATACTAGTCACTAGACATTCACAAAAAAGTGGTCCCATTAATGGTCTTCCATTTTGACCCACATCCATATGGGGTCAGATTTGTGATTCATCTACCCCCGATCCCAGCAGTCCCATAGGTCCCATAGCGCCAGGAGCATGTGGAATGCAATGTGGAATCCTGTGCCGATATGTGCCTTGGGGCACTGGGCAGGTCCGGCAGGTCCGAGGGCAGCGTTTTGGTCCTGGTGTAGTGTTGGGTCAAAATCCATGGGTTTTCCATGAGTTTTCATGATTCGTTCTACTCAAATCACCATGAAACAGCCAGGAATTTGGTGGGTGCCATGGGTCCCAACGATTTGAACCATGAACAAAGATGGATTTAGCCACTGAATCAAGGGATTTGGCTTGTCCAATTTTTGGGCGGATCCAGGTGTTTTTTCTACTGACATCCAGCTTGATGAAATCCGTGGTTTTCTTGGGTAAAATTGCAAAATCCACCGGTTTTCTTGGTCTGAAAATAGAGACCCCCCAAAAAAAAACCCTGGTGGTTGATCATCATTTTCCCACTCAAATGGCAATTTTGGGAGTATCACTCGAATCAGATACAGTGTATATATATATATATAGTTACATATATTTTTTCCACTGGCATATGAGTCTCGCTCGTGCCTACATGCATTGGCACCGACTAGCCGCAGGGCTGGTAGTCGGGGAGCATCGGGCCGCACTCCGTGCTGGCTGATGTTTGTGCCAATTCAATGCCAAAGCTTTCAGCATCAGCGTCACCAGGCGCCATCGACCATCGTGTCATGGCCTCAAAAATGGCCTGTGCAAATGCCCGGTTGAGCTGTGCTGGATATTCCTTCGCTTTGGCCGTTTTGAACGTGCCATCTGGATTGCGGCCGATGAGGTGTGCAGTTGGCCGAATGGCCGTGGCATCAGCACAACTCTCAAGGGCTTTGGGTAAATTCGAATTGGAGTAAAGGAATGTCGTGGGCTTTACTCCACAACTTCCGAATCGCCATTGCTCAGCGCTCACACGTCGGAATGGACCATAAGGCGGGCGGTGAAGCAGACAAAGGAGTCCCAAGCGCCATATGCTGGAGATCTCGTCCTGAAATGGCATCGCTGGGTGCTCTAAAAATGTCGCTCCCCCACTGATCGTGACCAGGCAAGCCAGCAAGATCCCTTTGAGAAGCAGCACATTGCCCACATAGATCTGCTCAAGCTCTTTGCATGATAACTGTGCCAGTCCCCATAGCTCCTGTGTAGAGCGAAGAGGTCGCGGTCCTCGAAGTACACGCCCATCCGAATCAACCGACTGCTGGTGCCGGGCCGCTGTCCATGTTTCGCAGGGCGGGCCCTGCAAAAGGCCCAATATGCGGCCCTCTCGCGCCAGGTTGACCAAGAAGCCCCATAGCTTCGGGTCGTGCACATTGAGCATAGAGTGCACGGCCGTGTCGATGGATAGGATACGGATGTGCAAATGCGGGAATCGTGGCAACAGCTCTTCGACGGCAGCGTGGAAATCCTCGGAGCGTCGTCGCCCGGAATAAAGGTGCACAATGTAGTACGGCCCTCGTCCGGCTGGAACTCGTGGTCGCGGCGCTGCCAGGAGTTTCCACTGCTTCCGCTGCTGCTCAGATCTGCCCATCATTTGATACGGCATCTGGACATCATGAAGACGGCTGCGTGACTTCTGCATCGTGGGAGGCAATCGAGGCGGTATGTCAGGTTCATCTGGAGGAAGATGCATCCATAAGTCAGTGAGCTGCTTCATCTCGCAGCGTCGCTGCCATGCCGGGATGTCTTCAAGCATCTGCATGTGCGCCTCCTCTAGGATATCAATGAGGTCAGGTTCAAGGTCGCTCGGCCATTCATCATAGAACTGAGTTTCAATCCAACGAACGAAGATGCGACCACCCAGAAGATCAGAGACTCCCAGCTGAAAAATCTTGGCAAACATGATGTTGTGGAACTCAACGTTGGTGGGTTCAGCATGGTTACACCACTGAGTTAATCCAGAAGAAAATGCTGCGCATGCTCGGTGCACAAGGTCTGGGTCTCGTTCAGGATACCACCAGGCATAATCTTCTTGGCCAGCGTGGCGAAGCGCTGTGATGCGTCGACGCAGCTGGATGCGTTGTCGTTGAACACTTGTGGGACGAATAGGGCCATAGTGCCGTCGGACAGCTGGAAGCCTGACGACATGCTGCAAATGCCGAGGTAGCACAATTGTGCATGGCTCTCCAGGTTGTCGGGCTCCATGAATTCTGTCCCAACATCCATTCTGTCGATACTTCAAGTGCTGTTGAACCCGCCAAGTGGTATGGTGATCCTTCAAGCAGCCCGGGCACACAGTGGACTGAACGTACGGCCTCTCTGCCGACATTGTACCATGTACTCGATATGCATGAGAACCTCTTGCATGGGCCGAGTTGAAGACCATGTCACATTGGTCGCAGCCAAAGCGAGGTGGCAGCGTCTCGTCAGTCATGGGAATATCAGTCAACATGGTGAAGCCTGCATGGTTCATCTCGTCAACAATGACTTGGTGGTATTGCTCAACATCACGGGCAATCCGGTCTTGGAGGACGTGCTTACGGCAGGCACGCTTGACCATGCTCTTCCAGTGTGCAAGGTCTTTGAGGATGTCCCAGACCTGCTGCCACTCTTGCACCTCGGCGGGGATGTTGAAGGGCAATGCAACCAGCGTGGCCAACCACTGAAGATCTGTGATGACCTCGCAGAGCCAGCCTCGACCTTGTTGAAACTCGGTAAGCAAAAGTTGCTTGTGGAAGCCCTCTGCATGCTTTCCAAGGTGTTGAAGATATATCAGCCTATGGCGCGCCCAGGTTACTCGGAAGGACGGAATCTCCAAATGGTTTCGCAGATCATCATCAGTCATATGGGTGTCATTCCAGAATCCCTTGTTGGCCATTTGCCGGTGGTGCTCAATGATCACCGCTTCAATCTGCTGAAGTTGGCTGCTGGAAATATCCGTCCATACAGCACAGGCATACATCAGCCGTGCGACAATCAAACTGTCGTAGAGCTGCATACGTCCTTTGAGCGGGATGTGTTTGTTGTGGAAAATGGCACGCTTGAGTTCCTGATAGGACTGTCTGGCCATGGCAATGCGGCTAGTGACCTCCGCCTCTCCATCGGCATTCATGGTAAATCGGGCGCCCAGGTGTCGATATGCTGCGACCACCTTGAGGGATAAGATGTGGGTGTCCGTGGCAGTGACAATGCATGGCATGGTCTCTGAGTCGAAGAGCTCCGTACGACAGACATTGGCACCCTTGCCACGGTACATGACCACAGCTTCCGATTTCCCTGTCTCAAAATTCATAGTCATGCCGTGAGCATTGAAGGTTGTATGGAGAAGCGCAACCACGTCTTGAATCAACGGAATCATTTTGTGTGGTGCTGTGGTGGCCAGCGGGATTGCCAGGTCATCAACCCAAGAAATGGGGGGGATATGCGTTCCCAATTGATCACAGCCTTGAACGTAATCATGTAGTAGCTGTAGTCCATCTCCCAGCTGGTGCATAATGCGAGACATGAGCAAATTGAAGCCCAAATCAGCCAGTGGAGATCCTGGTCGTGTGCCCCTGTCAGTGGTGACTACTTGATCCTGATCTGGATCGAGCTGGAACCAGGTGGATCGATGTATATCATGGAGGAAAAGACGCAGGGCTTCCGGGATGTCCTGGGGCTTTTCCTGGCATGCTTGCTGGAGGTCTGCCGCGAGCTGGTCAATGTTGAACTCATTCGAGTCAAAGATGCGCTGGAGCTCATGCTGCTGAAGGGGATCCCTGATTGAGAAAACATACTCCCTCAGCATGTGGTGAAACGCAGCTTTGAGGTCAACAAAAATGACTGCTGTTGTCATATGTCGGTGTCGCCCTTGTCGTCCGTGCAGTTTCAATAGCTGAATCGCTGTTGTGGTCTGCTGGGACGGGAGCCCACCGATTTGGCCAGGTGCTCGGCGATGAACTAGAGTTGGTAGAAGTCTCTGCTGGGCCCATGAGTGCAGGATCTTTCCAAACACTTCTGCTAGCAAAATCCCCCTATAGGAGCTGGCAAGCTTGCGGGAGTTCTTCTGCTTCCAAATGGCACAAAGCTGCCCGCCTTTATACCGTACTGGTTCTAGGCCCCATAGGAAGGATTTGAGGATGACGTTGTGGATGTAGGGGGCGATCTCTTTGGCGGCGAAGCGGCATACCTCAGGCGGGATCGCATCAAGGCCTGGTGCTCTGTTGGGACGCTGCTTGAGGCACAGGTCTTCAATTTCGACCAGTGTGGGCAAGTCTTCAAGCATAAGCTGTCGAGACGGAGGTCCTGCTGCGAGATCCTTGTTGTTGCGGTCAATGCAGCTCTGTCGACTCTTGGCCTGGTTAGAGATAGTGCCCGCCTCAAGTTCCGCAAAGTGATGGAGCAGTGAGTCACTCATCTCGTGTCTCGCTTGGGTCTGCTTGAGCTTGTTGCGGGGCAGGACTGCTTTGATTTGCTTCCAGACTGCTGTCAACCCTTCATGGGTGTAGGCATGTCCTGCGTGCTCAGCCAGAGACAGGTAATATTGTGTATCAGCTTTGCGGATTGCCTCAGAGGCTCGTTTTGCTGCAGTCTGCATTTGGGTTGTTGTCGTAGCGATGGCATGATCAATCATCTTCATCCATGTGGCAGGTGCAGTGTAGAGATGGTGAGGAACATCCTGGGTCTGTGATCTCCAAGCACTAAACATCACCTGCAGGATGGTGTTGGAGCGTGCTTTCCTCAGAGCTTTGAATTGTCTGCAGAGCATCTTCTTCTCTTCTACAAGCGCCCAGGTTGACTCATCCACATGGTGTTTGCGTCGCCATCGGTGGATCTTCGGCGTGATCTGCTGCAAGGCATGGTAAGCATTCCGAGCTAAATGATCTGCAGATTGGTGTGGATCCAAATTCCATATAGGATTGTGCAGTTGTTGGCAAAAAGCAGTTGCCGAGGCTGGGTCTCTGATCTGGGCTGCAATGGCATGTCTGGTAGGACCAGGATGCCCCTTCATTGGTTGTTTCTGTCGGAGCTTTCCAATTGTTTCAAACCGACAATGACATAGTGCAGCAACATGATCAGTGCGCGCACCGCCAAGATCGATGGTGTCGTCAATCCAGCTATGCACCTCGGTGTAATCGATGTTAAGTGGGATTGCCACATAATCGATTCTGGTTTCATGCTGCCCATCCGGAGAACTGAAGGTGCTGCATCGTTCTCCTGTTTGGTGTGCCTGAAAGGTGCTTGGTATCCAAAGTTGATGTTCCAACAGCCAATCATGGAAGACAACGCCCGGCTGGTTCTCATTCGAAGCATGGTGAGGTCCAACTGCTTGTGTGGTCTGTGAACCCAGGTGTGCATTAGTATCACCAAGGAAGAAGATTGGCATCACATGGGAATACTGTCGAACATTTTTGGATACTTGGTCCCAGAATTGTTGCCCTTCAGGAGCTGGTCGGCCAGCATGCGGGGCTCGACCTGTGATGAAAATGCTGCACCAGTTGGGCATGTCAATCTTGACAATCAGCAAGGATGGAGTTGCATGAACAATCCGAAGGTGCTTCAGCTGGATGTATGGGCCATCAAGAAAAAGGGGTTTGTTCTTCGCAAACCACATTTGCACACCATCATGTCCTTTGGAATCGCAAGGGTGGCCAACAATGTGGTAAAATTCGTTATTGGGATTGATGATGCGCTTGTGTCTGGTCTCTTGTAGGCCAAGTATGTGACAACCAGCTTCAGAAAACTGTCGCATCAAGAGTTCCTGCTTGGTTGGTGTGATCCTTCCATGATTGTCCTCTGTTGCCAGGGTGAGAACGTTCACCGTGGCCATGACAATGTCAAACGAGATCACTTCTGGAGCTTCTTGATTCTCAGCAGTGTCAAGGTGGTCGAAGTAGCGGTGGTCTTCAGATGCTATAGGAGAGCTGTGGGCAGCCATCAATGTGCCATCAAGCCGAGGAGCATCATGAGGTTGATGTTGTAGGTGCTCAAAATACCAAAGCCAAGGCAAGGTATGCTGATGAAGTCCATCAGTAATCCAAGGCATCCAGACGTCACAAGTGCCAACAAGGTCTGGGTGGTTGGCAGCATACTTTGCGAGTCGATCAACCAGTTCATTTCTCGGGTGCTGTGTGTGGGCTTTGATGTGTTTCCAGTGCAACCTCAGCTGTGTGTGTCGTCGTTCTAGGACTTGTGCCAATGAACGCATGACTGTTTTCCATGCTCGATGGTCAACAGTGCGCCATTGTCCTGCCGCTTGATAGCCAGTGTTCATGGCATCGAAGTTGAAGCTGATGTCGATGTCATTGGTTGCAAAGGAGCTCAAGCACCAGTCACTGATGTGAATCGCCCAGATGAGAGCCCAAGTCATGGCAGCATGTTCTCCGACGAAAGCATGCTGTGCAGGCCGCACGGATTTGCTCATGCATCCAGCTAAAGCTTCATGAGTTGTATACTCAAAGAAGCATGCAACACCTGCACCAACATTTCCTCCATTTTTTGATCCATCTACGTAGAGGTGGATGGCCTTAGGTGGCTGCTGAGACAAGGGGCCAAGGAGAGCAAGATGATCAAAGGTGACACTTTCAAGCTCAAGATCGTCTGGCCATTCTTGAAGAAGGTCAAGGTCAATATTCCCCAGTTCAATGGCTGTCCATTGCACTGCCGCAAAATCAATGCATGTTTGAGATGGGGCTGGGATCAGCTCATCGAGGCATATAGGGACTGGCATCGACTCAGGCCGCTGAGTATGAGCCACCAGCTCAGCTGTTTGGCGCCTGGTCATGTGCCTTTGTAATAGCTCGACCTCATCTGATCCTTCTGGAGGATTGATGGAGACAGTTTCCCATTCAAAATCAGTGTCTGCTTGATCGAAAAGCCTCTGTGCTTCAGCCATTGATAATCCATCTCGTAGGCATCGCGCAATGGCTTTGGATGAAAGAGACCGTTTCGCATGCGGAGGAAGGTCAATTCGAATGTAATCAGCATGATGCATGTCAAAAAGGAGATGGTTGGATAGCGGTAAAAGCTTGCCATTGATCCTGACAATGCACTGCTGTTTGACTTGTTTGCAGTAGGCTTGCAGCTTGAGATCTTCAAGAAGGAGCCTTCTGGTCATATCCTTCCTCACCAACGTCGCATATCGATGTGTCGTGGTGTCAGCCGCATTGTGCTCGTGGAAGACGATGTCAACAAGAACCATACGTCTGGTGTCACCGGTGTCAAGGTCATTGGCACGCAGAACAAGAGCAACATATGTGCCGGCTGCATACAAGTCAGCAGGTCTGTAATTGACCATGTAGATGTATTGGATTTCATGTCTTGCCAATCCAATGACATGTCGGACCTGACTGTAAGTCAAAGGCCAGCTGTCAGTGCGCACACGCGCTGCATGCATTGGGGATTTGAGCTGGAAGATATTGAAGAAACTCGATGTTCATCGCTGTCATAGGTGGACGCCGATGCACTGGAGTCAGTTTCCTCATCTTCATCCTCTGTGAGCATGTGTGCTTCTCGTGCAACTTCAGGAAGATCAGCAAGAGCAGGTGCAGGTCGAGTTTGAATTGGTTGATGTGCCAAAAAGGAGACATCGTCATCACTGGCTGAATCTTGCCGGCGCGGTGATCGGCTTCGTGTTCTGTGTGATGTATGCTGTGGCACATACTCATCTTCTTGCCAGAGAAAATCAAATGGATATCGCTCAAATTGGCCCAATGTCTCAGGCGCCTGCCGTACATGTAGTACTACTGCAGCTCCATCAACGACTGCAGTGCGAGGTTGTGGAGGCGATAGTATAGGGCGCCATCCATAGAAGGCCTGAATAGGCCTATGTCGCACCTGTCTGGAGACTTCTGCATTGTCAATGCATTCCTGTAAGTGCAGTTCAGAAAGGAAAAAACGTGCAATGCGTTGAAAGGCCACTTGTTGATGTGCATGATAGACAGAGCTGAAAAGCACTGCTCTTTCAAAATGCTGTGGAGCTTGTACAAGAATCAGCTGGGCATGGTGGTTCTCCCACTCCGCAATGGGTGGCTCTGGCTCAACAACAAAGAAGCTTACTGCTTGTTGTGGTCGCAGAATGCCTTGCCATGCTTCAGTAAGGGTCTGAGACCAGGTCAGGAAGTCCTCATTGAGTCTAACTGTTCTGGCTAGTCTACATTCCCTTCTGTCGATTCCATGCAGATACCACGTCAGGACTTTGATGTAGCGTTCCTGTGTGCGTGGATCAAAGGTTCCTTCATGGTGAAGAATAACAGCAAGATCCTGCACAAATTCTGGTTGGTTGGCTAACGCATGAGCTTGTGCTTCAGGTGGTCTTCGAGGATAAAATTCATCTCGATACCGATCTTGAGCAGGTCTCATGTGATTGTCGGTGAGATGGTGCTGTTTTGGGTGCATCCAGGTAGTTGATGATGATGGCTGGCTGAAATCGGTTCCAATCTCATCCTCATAGATGTAGTGAACAGCTACATTGGAGGAGAAATTCACTGTTTTGGCTGCTTTGAATGGGTCTTGGGGAGGCACCCAAGCTGGCAGCGGTGCAAAACAGGAGATCCAAGAATCCTCATCAGCATGTTGAACAGGCTCATCGTCCAAACTTCCGCATTGATGGGCAAGGACGTGGGCATTGTGTATGGCCATGAATGGATAAACGCAAACATCATCATTGTATGCTCGTGGATGTAGTGGCCAAGGCGTATAGCTGCAATCTCTGCTTGCTGCACAACCATCTTGCTGATAGTCATAGGCCTCAACAAAGTTGCCGGCGTCCTTGGCAGTGAAGTAGGCTGGCTCCCGATGGTCTTTCCGAAGACAATCACCACCGTTGCCAATTGTCACTTGGTAGAAGATCCAAATGGATCGGCTGAACGAGGCCTTTTGTTGGCCCTTTCGGCACTGGTATCCATGTGCTCCTCGTCGGAATTGATCTCCACCACAGTGGCTTTGTCGGCCTTCTTCAGACACTTGGACAGGAGGTCGTAGACCTGTGTGCGCAGTTCGTCCTCTTCCACATCGACTGCACTGTCTGTCTGATCTTCCTCGTCCAGGGTCGGTTCCACCACCTCCGCAGAGTGGTCGGCTGCAGCTTGCGCTGTAAGCCTCCTCAACTCTCTCCTTGTGATAGTGATGTCCTTCTGGGCGGTCTTGATCTTGTCGTTGTAGCTTCTCTGCTGGTCTTCGAAGGCTTCGACCTGCTTGGATAAGGTCTCCATGAGGCTCTTCATGTGGTTCATCCACTTGCTGCGGTGCTTTGCTTTCGCATCTGAGAGCCTCTGCAGGCTGTCTCGGGCCTTCTCCAGATCCTTTGTGGTTTTGTTCATAGAAGCCGTAAGCTGGCGTCCGCTGTTGGGATCGTGCTTTTCCACCATGCGCCGCACACTGGCTGGCATGTCTTTTTCGTCTGTATAGGCTTCTCGGATCTCTTTCACCATCTCCGCTTGGGCTGTGGCTAGCACTGAAGAGGCAGACGGAGTCTCTTTCGTCGATGCTTCCTCCGGCTTTCACGGCGGTGGCATGGCTAGAGCCGCATAAGGCTGGCCCTTGTTCTTGTTTTTCTGCCTTCGTCGTCCTCTGCCTTGTCCTGCAGGTTTTGCTGAGCCACTGCGTCCCCGATCGGGATAGGTTGTGGATCCATCCCAATGCCATCCAGTGTACTGCTCGTTTTTCACATGCGGAGATCGTCCACGACTCTTCGGTCTGCGCGACGGATCCCGCTCTGGCGGCGTGAAGCTCAGATCCTGCATCTTGTTCCAGTGGCCTCCACAATGTGGACAATGCGGATGCCTTCCACTGAGAACTTTCCAACAGCGCTTGCACCTCCATGATTCCGCCATCGTTGCTGGTACCTGGGCAATGAGTCTGCGTAGGTGAGCAAGGTGTAGGCGATCCACAGAATGATGCGCTGAGAGGGTTCGAATTGCTTGCTTGATGCGGCCGGCAGTGAGCGTGATGTGGCCTTGTCGATGGAGCCACAAATTCCTTCGAACTGCTGCACGTTGGCGTCGCTGTCTGCGACGAAATGTATTGGAGCTCAGAATGATTGCAAAAAGATCCAAGGATGTACAAATATACGACCAGGATGAACATAAACTTCGCCAGCACTTCGGCAAGGTAGAAGAAATATGCCAGGAGGAAGGGGGAGAAGCTCAACCACGCTTCGCAAGCCCGATCGTGTGCACAAACTCAAGGATGTAGATCGCCAGGGCGTGCCAGTTCAGCGATTAAGATGTCAAACTTTCTGAGCAGAGGTGTTTTGACCAGCCCAGGGTCAAAGAGCACAATTGGCCAAAGCTGCAATGCTCACCAAATGCAGAGCAGCTCGCGGGCGAATGGCACCCGCTAAGGTAGCTGGCGGGTCAGAAACCGGACACCCTACTCACTGTCAGGGGGGAAAATCTTCCTGACAAGTGAGCTTACAGCCAGAACCTTAGTTACATATATATATATATATATAAAATAGCTATACTATATAGTTTGGTTCGAAACCCATGATATCCTCATTTTTTCCGGCGAAGTCACCATTTTTGATGCCATGATGCCCTGCATTTTCAGCCATGAACCATGTGGATTTTATGCTCCGACCACCGAGGATTGTGAATGCGAAGGAGGTGCTAGTGGTGCCTGGCTATGGTGCGCACTGCGATTTTCGGATTTTCGTGGGTTGATGGTCGCTTAAAATCCTGCAGCAGTTGGAAAGTCTTAGGTAACTATGAAACACCGTTACTGGTTGGTGGTTTGGAACATGAATGGATTATGACTTTCCACTACTATTGGGAATTTCATCATCCCAACTGACGAACTCATATTTTTCAGAGGGGTTGAAACCACCAACCAGATTAGAATGTGGGATAAACATTCTATCATCTGTGTCTGAACATACTCATAAACAATGTGTTTCTAATGTGGTAAATTTAAGAAATGGGTTGATGTTTATAACGATGGGCTTAGAATCATAACAATGGGTTGATGGTCGTTTATAATGTGGTAAACCCAACGTCATAAACAAGGTAACGTCGTCCGTTGCGGTCCCGCTGATTTTGCTTGTTTTGACAACAAGCATCTTGCTATTTCGACAACCCCTACGCCATGTTCAAATGCCTTGCGTTTTACAGCACTTTGTGTCCATTTTGTGCTATTCACAATGGGTTTTACACGTCCATGTGCAAAACAGCGGAAAAAAAACACATGGAAACCAGGACTATGTTAGGATCGTGTTGCATACATGATAGACCAGACATAGACACATACCTTGCATACTTGGACATGTACACTGATTTATATATATATATATATATGCATGTATATATATATTTATATCCATATATATATATATGTGACTTGACACACGCACATGCACATATATATATACATACATATTCATAAATTCCAGACAATCAGAAATATCTAGACCTACAGGAAAGCACATCTCTGACACTGCACCACCCCAGACCCAACCCCATCTCTGGCGTAAGATCACAACATGTCTTACATCACATCACAACGTCATTGCAGCACCACCCCAGACCCAACCCCATGATCACGTACATCGTACAAAAATGCATGAATTCCCCGGGCCGTATTGGACGACGTCAGCATAAACAACTGCCATTTGGGGATGATATTTACCCCCCATTTGTGGTAAGTCATGGGGGATGGTTTATGGCAGGCCTCACCATGAATTGCGGTCTGCTTTGGGGAAACCGCCAAGATTGTATTAAGGTGTCATGCTTTAATCCCAAAACTGGGATTAGAAAAAAACATCAGCTCAAATTGGGCTTGCGTGAAAACAAAGCGACACTCAAAGTCTTCCAGATCAATTGTGGTCTTGTTTTGTTTTCAGCCGGATGGAACAAATCAACAATGTACATCAAGGGTAGCAACAAAAAGATACACAGGCTGGAGGAGGTTCTTTTTGAACGTTTTGAACTATTTAGAGTGATGTGTTGTTTTGCATCTCGCGTGCGTTCGCCTGCGTTTGCACATGTTTTTTCTTTGGAACTTTGTATCCAATTAATCACTATTTTTGCAATGAAATGATGGAACACATGTCAGTTTTTCACCATATTGCCACCAGTCTGGGACCATACTCGGCCACCTAGACACTCCAATTACCCCTGAAAATGGGGAATCATTGTATCAATGGATTGGTTTAAGGGAAAATCTTAACCGGAAACCATAGATTTTCCCATTAAACATGGCGGTTTTAGAGCAGCTTTCAACAAATTCTGGCAAGAGGTATGGCCATGGCGCGTGCTCAAACGCCCATGGGAGAATTGGCCTCGATGTTGCGAAAAAACAACATCATCCTGAAGTGCCCTGGTGATTTGAATGGCAACTCCATGGTACCATTGCCCTGGAAAGTGAAAGTTGACCATCCATTTCAACTATGGGCCGCCTTGGATTTCACCAACAGCTACGGTTTTACCATGAAGCAGCTAGGTTTAAATAGGAAAACAATGCGATATATAAAGGTTTTTTAAGCACCAAAACCATGGGCCATATTTTTCGATTCTTTAGATGCCCAATGGTGAGATGTTGCCGACCAATCATACGTTGAACTCCTGCGTCTTGATGGAAAGTTATGGATTCTTCCCATGGAGTTTGTGACCAAACTGAAAAAACACCAGGCTAGTAATAGCCAAATCATCATCAGGATGTTTATCATCTATTTCTATGGGCCATGGTTTCCGTAGCAAACTGTTAGTCACAACCAGCGGGTATTTGGTGTTCAACCAAGATGGAACAGCGTATTGGGCAAAAATCGGGTGTGGAAAAGATTGTTCATGTTGGATATCGCCTGTTAAATTTGTTGGCATGGTGGTATCTTGACACGATCTGGGTAAATGCCCATGACATATAACTTGGGGTTGAAAAATCTTCAGGAAAGTGTGAGATCTTACCGGGAACCCATGAAATTCCTGTGGTTTCTATACTCGGTGAGGCCCTCCAGCAATCCAAGCTGGCGATGGAGAATTGAAATGTCCACATCTAGATCCGCAATCAAACATGGTTTGCTGGAAATTTCCCTCCTTATCTATAGATGTTTTTCCAATAGATAGATAGATAGATAGATAGATGGATAGATAGATAGATAGATAGATGGATAGATAGATCGATCGATAGATAGATAGATAGATCGATCGATAGATAGATAGATAGATAGGATGGATGGATGGATGGATGGATGGATGGATAAGATAGATAGACGGATGGATGGATAGATAGATAGATAGACGGATAGATAGATAGATAGATGGATGGATGGATAGATAGATAGATAGATGGATGGATGGATAGATAGATAGATAGATGGATAGATAGATAGATAGATGGATGGATAGATAGATGGATGGAATGATAGAAAGATAGATGGATGGATAGATAGATAGATGGATGGATAGATAGA